CTGCATCAAAGAAATGCTAGTGTGAGGAATACATCAATGAACTCTCCCATCTGTGGATAAGCATTCCAAATAACCAAACCTTTTAACCATTTGAAAGTCTTTATTGTTGGGAGTCGAGTATGTGGGTTTAAAGCAGCATTAACCAGTTCAGTACCCTTAAGGAGGTTCTGTAATATTGTTGTTCTACAATTTGTGTGTTGTAACCCTTCTAGCACCGTGGATAGGTTTAAAATGTTAGGTGTAGGTGTCAGCCTTGCTTAGTTGGTAGCTTGAGTTGGTAGATTGTGGGTTAAACCCCACATCAGTATTTTGAGCTCATAGTCTAGGCTGACATTCCAGTGCAATGCTCAGGAGCATTGCATTATTTGGTGGGGGTGGGTGTGGGGGCGAAGCCAGCCTACATTGATTTGGTTCTCCACACATGCATGCACACATGCATACATGCAGAGAGGGTCAATGGCCAGGGGATCCGATCTGACTATTCCCTCCAGCCCAGTGGCAACGAGGCCAATTTCAGTGCCCTCAGCTCTTGCCTCAGCTGAAATCAGCTAAATCAGTACATATTGGGATTGAACCTGTATCCTTCCGTTCCGTGTAGCCTAGTGCTGCACCAGACAGTGCCTTTATAGCCAGTCGGCCATTGGGAGGGGGAGGGGGTCAGAAAGGAAAGAAAGCTAGCTATTATGATTTAACAATAGTCACAAAATATACCAGCTACTACGATAGTTAGCTTGTGGCCAAAAAGTACCAATTTAATACAACACTTAGAGTAAGAAAGTGTGCTAATAGCTGCCTGGAGCCACTGCCCTTTTTAATTTGAACATTTATGCTGAAGAAAGCAATCACTGACAACATTAATTATAAACATTTGAGTAAGAGTGCCCGCTGCTTGCATTACTTACCATTTGGCCTCTGTCACTTTGCATCAGTCTGGCTTATCCATGCATCATTCACACTTATAATGATGCACTTACTTATCTGACTGTCTTATATCATATATGGATGTCTTCTTCACAGGCTAAACTCACTGCAGGCTTAACTATCAGACCTAATTCTTAATGACTGCCCATAACTAAGGACTGCATTTGCTGAATTTTAGAATATCTCAAGCATAAATAGATAATGATAAAACATGTCAATACAGATTTCCTTTTAACTGTAGTAATATATGTATATACTGTGCAGTGAAGTCGGTTTATAATGACTGCCAAAGGAGGAGAGAAATAGTCTTCAGGTGAACTTTCAGACAGCTAGAAGCCTGAAATTGTTTTGTCCTCTTAACTGTAAGACTACTGCTTTAACATTTAAAGTTGTGTAGCATTTTGGAAATAGTTTTACATTCAGTGTTAATTTGGAAGCTGTTTTTCCGCAGCTCCTTAGCTTCCAAATTATTTTCCACAATTCTGCATGTTTTTCAATTTAGTCTTAGGGCCAAGGCCACAGGAAACCTCAGGCCTCTACTTTCCTAAATCAGGTTTGAGTCTGAACCATTAGATGTGCAGCACATCTTCAATGTCCCTGACTGTAGTAAGTCCCAACAGCAAATTGTAAAAAATATATGATTGAGACCAACAGCTATTAGGCGACCATGGAGTGAAATTGGCAGAATTTCACACAGCACTATGGGGTCATAATACTTAACACATTGAAAGCATTATGAAGCGCTGCTATTTTCTTCCTTTTCTTTAAAGTACAGTAAGGCTGTACTTATCTTCCACCAAACTCTATGACTGCACAACAACCACAACACATGCTTTTATATAGCATCTTGCAGGTCAGGAGGATGTCCCAAGGCACTGGACAGGTGAGGGTTTGCACTCCAGATGGAGGTTAGATTCAGGAGGGTTAGGGTCCAAGGGGGAGTGGGATAGGAAGATGACTGAAACAACAGTCAAAGAGGAATGTTATGAGGCAGATCTTGAAGGAGGCAAAGGAAGGGACGAGGTGAAGGGACTCTGGGAGTGACAGCAGAAAGGCTGAAAGTCCAACCTCCGAAAGTGGGGTGGGCAGAGCGGGGGACATGAAGCAGGCCTGTGTCTACCAAGCGTAGGGAATGGGTGGGTCGGGAAGGGCTTATAAGAACACAGCGGTGGGGTGTAGGGCAAGATTGTGTACTGTACCGAGGCTGCGGAAATTCAGACGCTCAAACCAAGATCTGGTGCCGAATAACAACAATTCAAATGCAGCAGAACAGAAAACCGACTGAATTAAGTTATTTTTTCGGTCTCTTATGGGCAATTCCAAAACCAGGAATCACATACGATGTTCAGCACTTAACAGGCCATTTATCCCAGTAAATTTTACTCCCCTGTACAAAAAGGGGCAAAAGGATAAACCCAGGAACTACAGGCCAGTCAGCCTAACGTCAGTAGTGGGGAAACTTCGAGAGACTGTAATCTGGGACAAAATAAATTTTCCCTTAGAAAAATATTAGTTAATAAAGAACAGCCAACACGGATTTGTTAAAGGCAAATCATGTCTAACAAATCTGATAGAGGTTTTTGATGAAGTAATTGAGAGGGTGGATGAAGGTAGTGCAGTTGATGTAGTTTATATGGATTTTCAAAAGACGTTTGACAAAGTGCCACATAAGAGACTTGTAAGCAAAATAGAAGCTCACGATATTAAAGGGACAGTGGCAGCATGGATACAGAACTGACTGGGAGACAGAAATCAGAGAGTGGTGAACGGTTGTTTTTCTGACTGGAGGGAAGTGTACAGTGGTGTCCCCCAAGGATCGGTGTTGGGACCATTGCTCTTTTTGATCTATATAAATGAACTGGACTTGGGTACAGGGAGTACAATGTCCAAGTTTGCAGATGATACTAGGAAAGCTAGGAAAAGTAGTAAACAGTGAGGAGGATAGTAGCAGATTGCAAGAGGACATAGTCAGACTGGCAAAATGGGCAGACACGTGGCAGATGAAGTTTAATGTGGATAAATGTGAAGCAATGTATTTTGGGAGGAAGAATGAGGAGAGGCAATATAAGTTGATGGTACAATCTTAAAGGGGGTGAAGGAACAGAGAGACCTGGGGGTTCATATAAGTAAATCTTTGAAAGTGGCAGCACAGGTAGATAAAGCTGTTAAAAACGCATACGGGATACTAGGCTTTATAAATAGGGGCATAGAATACAAGAGTCAAGAAGTTATTATGAACCTTTATAAAAACACTGGTTAGGCCTCAGCTAGAGTACAGTGTCAGTTCTAGGCACCACACTTTAGGAAGGATGTCAAGGCATTGGAGAGGGTACAAAGGAGATTTACCAGGATGATACCAGGAATGAGGGACTTCAGTTATCAGGAGAGGTTAGAGAAGCTAGGATTATTCTCCTTGGTACAGAGAAGGTTACGAGGAGACTTAATAGAAGTTTTCAAAATTATGAGGGGATTCGATAGGGGGAACAAGGAGAAAATATTTCCACTGGCGGGTGGGTCGGTAACTCAGGGTCACCGATTCAAAATAGTTGTTAAAAGAAACAGAGGGGAGGTGAGGAGAAATTTTTTCACACGGCGAGTTGTTCGGATCTGGAATGCAATGCTTGAAAGGGTGGTGGAAGCCGATTCGATAACAACTTTTAAGAGAGTAGATCATTATTTGGGGAGGACAAGTTTGCAGGGCTATGGGGAGTGGGGGGGCAGTGGGATTGATTTGGATAGCTCTTTTCAAAGAGCCAGCACAGACACGATGAGCCGAATGGCCTCCTTCTGTGCTGTAAATTCTATGATTCTATACTCGCTGCGGGTGTTTTTCTTCACCTGAGCTTCCAGCATCCTAATCCCCTCTCCTAACCACTTGATTCCTACTCCCTCATGACTACCAACGACTCTAATAAACCTCCTGATGAAGCAAGTCTGAAACTTTGCAAATGTGGAATTACTGAAGACTTTAATCGTTCAGACTCTCTGAAAGTCTCTTCTCCGCTAATCAGCATTGTATTTATTTTGCATAAACCAAACCAAACCTTGCACACTTTTTATGTTGTTCGTCCATCATGGTACAACATTTATTGTTTCCTCATTTTGTAAAAAAAGATGCATATCAACACTGCAGGGTTTTTAGTCATGTTGTTTAAACAAGCAAACGTGGCTCCATTTTCAATCAGTTTCAATTTATGTCGCACATCAATGAGAACATGAAATCAGTCTCTAAAGTAAGGTTGGCAGCCTCAGTGGTCACTAATCTCCTCCTTTGTGATTGTCTTGAAATCCTACTGGTGCAGGAGCAATCTGCACAATCACAAATCCAACTTCTAAAGGAATTAAAACGTATTCTTTAAGATCTTGCCCATGTGATGTAGCTTGACATAGTCTGTGTTCGCTCTGCTATTCTGGCTCGAGCAGACAAAGCGGGGTGGGTAGAGACACAAACGGGGCAGAGACGGCCACTCTAATTTTCTCAGCCGAAGAAAAAAAATGGAAGCAAAACGAATAAAAGGAAATAAAGTAAAAATGATCAAAAGAGTTGCAAGCCCTGAAAGTCCCGATATCGGAACAGAGATGAACCATGGCCAGTGATGAGTGGGTCAGAAAAGTCCGTAATTGTTTGTGTCACTTAAACAAATCACAAATTTTGCAAGGATGCTGAATTATATTAAAATGGATGTTGTCTACATTTCATTTTCATAGTGCTGTTGGCGAATGAATTCATTTACATGTCCAATTTGAACTGTGACAATGACATCTGATAAATATGTAAAAGGTTACTTTACAGCCCAGGAAACAACGACATTTGCTCATGGCACATATGAAATTTTTACCACAGAAATTAATTAGTACTGCAGCCCATGAAGAGCGTGCACATGTCTGTCAATTACAGACTGACTTATTTTATTTTACCAGGAGCGCTGAGTGCCAAGAAGTGAGGATGATGGGGGTGGAGTTGGTTGGGTGCGGGAGGAGAGAGAGAGAGAGGAGAAATGCTTCACCCATTTTAAATTAAGTGCAAGCAACTTTAAAGGGAGTGAGAGGTGCTGCAGTAAAGTCAGTGCAATCCCTACCTGTGTGGGACCTCATATGGGTCCTGAGGTGACTGGGTTGGCTGAAGCACTTTCCACATTCTCTGCAGATATATTCTCCATGTCGCGTCTGAGCGCAGAATGTCATCCCTGCGGTCATTAAAAAAAAAGTTGCGAAAAAACATTACGCCAGAAGAAAACATCATTAGTAGTGTCTAATGTGTCATTATGTGAGGCTACCTTCAGGCCCTTGGATGACAACTGTCAGCCTTCATTATCACAACCACTGACAGGGCAAGCACACACAGGACTGCGAAAATGCATAAATTACATTGAATTAAAAGATTTACCCTGTGATGTGCCCACTCCACACTGGCATGTCAGGTGTGCGCATTTCAGAGCAGCTGGATCCACTTTTCAGCCATCAACCGGCTATGTCAAGTGGTAACATCAGGCAAATCAAACTGACGCCACCGCAGCAAAGATAAGTCACATGAATAATGGGAAGCGAGTGGAACCAGAGCTTGACCATCCCTTATGGGTACAAATACCTTGGAGACAAATGCAAAGTGAGCGAAGACATCATGGGCTGATCAAATGCCTGCCTTCTACCTGCCTACCACTGCTATACCGACCTCAGACCTTGAAGGCACATAATGTAGACATCTATGAATGAAAATGTCATTATACAGACATTTCGATAGAGAAAGAGTTCTTCTAGCTTTGATCATCAAGGCAAGCAGCTTAATTTAACATGGCATTGCCAAAGCATAGGTCTGCATGCTGCAATATATCTTCATAATATCTATGTTTGCCAATAAAATATTTAGTAAAGGTCAATGAATGATTGGAATGAATATAATGCTTATTTCCACATCTTTATTTATTTTCATTTGGGTGTCACCAATACTCCATACGAGTCTTCACCCATTCCTTATTCCTTCCCATACCTTCCTATTCCCCTCTCTGCCATGTGAACTTCTAGCTTCTTCTTGAATGCATTTGCACTATCTGATCCAACCACCGCTTCAGGCAGCAAATTCCGCAATCTCACTACCCTCCTTGTGAACTAGTGCCTACTAAATTCTAATTTTGATCCCCTAGTCACTATCTTAAACTTGTGTCCCCTGGTTACGGACTGCCCAACAAGTGGAAACAGCCTATTTATCTTTTATAATTTTAATTACTTCTATTAGGTTCCCCACTTAAATGTCTCTTCTCTAACGAAAAAAGACCTAACCTATCCCGATAGCAGAAACCTGCCAACCCTGGTATCATCTTTGTAAACCTATGTTGTACTTCATTCGCTGTTATATCCTTCTTGGAGATCAGAACTGGACAAAACGCTTCAAATGTGATTTAATCAAGGTTTTGTATACATTCAACATCACCGCACTTTTATATTCTATCCCTCCAGATATAGAGACCAAGACCCTATTGGCATTTTTTATAGCCTTATCTACCTGGGCAGCTACCTTTAGAGATTTTTGCATCAGAATTTCCAGATCACTTTGCTCCTCTACTCCTTTTAGGTTCCTACCATCTAGACTATAGACATTGAACCTCATTTGCCATCTGTCTGCCATCTGTCTGGGTGGGAAGTAGATTTTCCTTGATTCATCACATCTCCTCTCAATGTAGCTGGTGAGTTTAGGCAATTTACTGTGGTGCCAGCCTGCACCAACATATGCTCTTGTCTTAAAATGTTGGGCAAAGTAGTGCAAGGAAAGAGAAGTGTTTCACTTCATGTCAATGACATTTTTCTTTTGGATAAATAGATGACCTTTCATATATACCAGAAGCAGCACATGGTCCTCTATACCTAGAGGCCAGGAAGAAAGGCCATTTCTGCAAGGGTTGAATCTTAACAGAAACTTAATTATTTTGGTGAGTTCATTTGAATCCCTTCCTATCCTATCAAGTCATTTTCAAACTTGCTGGCTTTGTGAAGTTGGACGTGGAAAGAGCACTGTCTACAGGAAAGTGGAAGGCGAACCATTTGGTCTTTTTTCATCTAACGTTTATGATGTTCTTATATTCTTATGTACAGTCTACCGGTCAGGTTCTGTGCTCCAAAAGATGCCCAGACCATATTTGCCAATGTTTCCAGTTTACAAAAGCAAATCAATGAAATGCCTCGTCTTTTGGACAGTATCTGCAGGGTTGGGAAACTGACTACGTATCATTGGAAAAATGCAGTCAATATCTAACGTTCAGACCTACAGGAAAGATTGAGCTGTAAATTGTTGTGTGAAGCTCTTGAGAGATGTGTTGACGTGATAAGGTGCTACATCAAATGCAAATATTATCATTGCATATTTTTCTGCCAGTTCTGGGAGGGAACTGAAAAGAATGGCATACAGTTTACTAGTAAGTGCAATGGGAATAAACTGTCCCCAAGTATAAATTTATTTAGTATTTTGGGCACCACAGGGTGTGGGAGCAGGATATTTGAGTGACAGTTACTGTGCACAGTGTTGTCAGACTGCAGAGCCGGAATTATTTATTCACTTCTTCCATCTGATGTGGTAATACTAGAGACATTTATGGATAAAAATAAGCTACAAAATGTTATTTTATACCAGAGTTTTTACTGTTACATATCCTGCAATAAAATTTATAGTTTTGTTGGCAGTCCAGCTTATCTTACCTCGGTATTAGAAAGCTCTGTGTGGTAAAGCCTAAAGTTCTGTGACACATCAAGGCTTGAGCTCATAATCTGGCCTGCAACCCTGGGGCTGTAGAGGGTACTGAGGTCCTGTCTGCCTGTTCTTCAATTGGATGCTAAAGATTTTACAACAGTACTTGAAACGACAAAGAGAGTTCTCCATGTCTCTTGTCCTGGTCAAGAATCCTCCAGGTAAAAATTGGACAATCATCTTGTGGCTATTTGTGGGACGTTGCTGTGTGGAAAATGGCTTCTGATTTTACCCGCAAAATCAGTCACCATATTTGATAATCAAGAACCTTGCGTTGTTTCGATGTGATAAGGCACTATAAACATGCAAGTCCTTTCATTAAAAACAAAATTAAGCAACTTTACTATAGAGGCTTTATTTTCTGACGTGAAACATGAAAAGCACTATACAAAGGTAAATTTGTATTGTATTTATTTTATTTTCTATTGCCACTTATTCAACAAAAATAGCTAGAGCTGATGTTAATGCAGCAGCAGCTCAACAGTACAATACTGGACTTGCATGCAGGAGCTTGAAGTCTAAATTTCAGGCATTGCGATCCACTGTACACTGTTCTTGAGTGAAGCTGGTTGGTTTAGTCATTTAGGTTTCATGTGGGCCACTAGAGGGAGCAATTCACAACACCACCGACTCCATCCCTGTGGCTCAAGGTGGTGCTTTGGGCAGACACAGCACACATATTGGACGGTTTTGAAGGATCAGAAAGAACTGGCTGATTTCTATTCTTGCAAGGAGTGAATAGGGTAGATTGTTACTTTATATGGAATTCCAGAACATCATAGGTCCCTGGGGAAACCCTCTAAGTTGCATTCAGCAATTTCTAGAAGGCTTTCAACCCAGTGCCTCATGAAACTCCCATGAAGAAACTGGAAGCTAGACCAATAAATAGGCAAATCCTGGATTTTATCCGGGATGTAAGTAGTGTGTATGCCTCTGGGGAGAGGGTGCACTTCCATTCCAAATACAGGGAAATATATAGTCTACTCTACGCTCCGTCTGCTTATGATGTGAAATAGCCTCACAAGAGGGCTCCAGATATGAGAAGTAAATGCTGAGAAGGAGAGATCTAAAAAAAGGTTTGCTGAATAAATAGTTGGAACTCGGGATTCTATTGGATTTGAGATAACATGATACGCTAAATAAAATTTTTGGACACTCAAAAAATACGAATCTCTCTAATTTTACTTAAAGGCTGCACTTAAAATAAATGAATATAGTGCTATTTTGTAATAATTCTAATAACCTCTCCATTCGGTATAGCGCCCTTCACGTCAGGAGGATGCCCCAAAGCATTTCACAGTCTAAAGTAAAGTACAATGATGGTATATCTTGTGGATATAACCTGTAGAAGGTGCAACTGTGTTTTGCTGAATATTACTGAATTAAAATGAATTACAGGACAGATAACAAGCCTTTAATCAATTTCAAAACATGGCTGGCAAGGTGTTCCTCTCCCCTACCTCCTTATTCTTTTGAAATGCAATGTTATCCTTTTTTTCTAAATCTTCCAGAATGTGTTTGACAAGGGAACATATGTAATAATAATAAATAATAATCCTTGCATTGATATAGCGCCTTATCACGTCTTCGAGTTGTCTCAAAGCGCTTCACAGAATATACTGCAAAGTGAATTGACTGTATATCTTGTGGGCGAAATATGTATATATATATATGTATAAACATATGCAAATATAGCATGTGACTGGATCATCCATTACAAGAAAACCAAGAAATGTAAATGGCATGTGAACAGGTCACAGATTTCAAAACAAACACACAAACAGATGGTAATGGGATATGGGAGGGAGGGGGTGTTAGGAGCACAGATTATAAAATTCATCCACAGACAGATGTAAATGTGCTGTGTGAACAGGTCACTGATAAGAACACAGCACTGAGGGAGATTTGTGGCAAGTTGCTTTGTTTTATCTGATCATTGTTAAGCAAATACTGCCAAAGGTTGACTGCATGCGCCCCTGTGACTTCTCAACAATATCTCTGATAGGAGGTTTCCATTCAGGAAATTGAAAGGTCTAAAACTAGACCGACTGAACTCTCTAGGAATGAATCTGCTCGCAGAAATACCTGACAAATCTACTCAAAAGAATCCTGACAACCATACAGTACTTCTTTGGTTCACAAAAAAAATCGACAATAATTAGCATGGTTACACTGTTACATGGATCATACACACATGAAACTTAGCCTTTTTTCCTCTTTTATAACTACAATTTTAGAGCTGATTTCGCATTTGAACATTCAAAATAGCTGGATTAATTTGGTCAGAATGCCTGTCATCTACGAAAAAGCAAACACTTACTTTAACAAAAGGCTTACTGTGGGGACAGCTTAAGGCTATACTGCAAAGCGGGAGAGTGTGCGATGTACAGTGTTGGCAAGCTGTCTCCTTGCGTATGCATTTCTGGAGTGGAAAAGATGCACTGGACACAATGGGACCGACATTTGTTTTTCGTTAACATTGGGATCAAACCATGTTTAACAAATTCTTTTAGCTAAATGCTAACACATTCGTATGAGGATCCCGCTTCCCTAAACGAGAAATCTCATTTCATTAGCATGAGCCAAAAACAGCGCAGCCAATCATGTTGGCCCTGCAGAAATGGGCTGATGACATTTATAAACAGCAAATGAGTCAAGTGAAGATGCAAAGTGCCTGACACCCACAAACACAGCTCTGGAGTGCAGAATGCTTATAGGGCAATGGCTGATTGGGAAATTCAAAAGTGAGGTTTCAGAGGAGCCTGGCAATTCCTTGTGGATGCAGTAAGTGAATGGGCTGCCATGGTATTTTTGATGAGGGACAGATCATACCCCCCCTACACATAGACACAAACACCATACACACATACCTCATACATACATACACTCCACCAAACACACACAAACACACACATCCTGCACGTAATGTACCAGAAAGCCATCTTATCCGAACAATCCACACCCTGCCACTGAGCCAATACAAAACTGTAAATTTTCATTCTCCCCACAACAATTAAACTATTATTAGAGCTCCATTATGTGCCAATTCCTAAAGTAGCAATTTTTTCTTTACAGATTTTTTCTTTGCAGCTACATGCAATATAGCATCCTCTGGGTAGCGTCTTGGAGCACTGAATGCTCCAATCCTCGTACATGGTGGGTTTTCATAAGGAAAAGATCACTATAGGTATTTTCTAGTGTTTGACACATGAATGGCTGACAGACAAGACCTGAATTTCCACCTAGCTTTAGCTTGCAGGACAGTTTTGATTTAAAAGTCAAGATCGATGAGGAACTGTGGAAAACTCTTAAATTCAGTCTTTATTTGGACACGGGTTTCCTGCAGTTCTTAAAGCGACCCAGCTTCTGAATTAAGACTAAAATTAAGAATTTTCCAAAGTTCTCATGATCTTGAATTTGAAAACAAGTCTTTTCGGCTATGTAGAATGGAATTGTGGGCCATGTGCTGCTAAACTTTAGCATTTCAAAGTGGATCCTAAAACCAGCTTGAAAACAAACTCCCTTTGCGTTTACCTGTTGGATCCGAGAAGCAGCTGTTAGCACCCCAGCTCTGGTACAGTGCAGACAGGTCTTGGGGACTGTAAGTCTGAAAGATATTATAAACATCCATGTGCTTGGAAGCCTGATCAGGTTCAGATGGTGACTCTCGATTGATAGCAGTACGTAATGGTGCAGAGACTCCCACAGAGCTGGGACAGCGCTGCCACATCAGCACATTCACTCGCCCGCCAAGGTCGCAGTTTCTGGATGATGTCAACTCATGTAAGCCTCTCGCCGGGGATGGTCGCTGAAGCATAACAATGTCTTTATGTTTGCGTACTGTTCACCTGTGGATATGACTCTGCATTCAGGCTTCTGACTGACTTTGATTTTCGATGAGTCAGATTGGAAAGGGGAGCCAGGAAGTGTGTACCCGACACCCTCCTGTGGGAAAAATGCCTCCTGATATATTCCGGTGGTCTCGCTTGGCATGCCAGGTCTCAGGATTGCAGCCTGGGCGGGCAGCAGGTGGTTTTCAAGGTTACCAACCAGAGACGTTTTCTGCTGGACCTCTGGCTTTGACCTCACCTTTTGTCGTTCTGAAGCAAAGTCATATTGATTGCAACTGTTCAGATTCTGCTGCCAGCAGGTGTCCAGGCCTAAGCCCACAGACCCCATTCTCTCCGGCTGAGGATAAACCCCGCGGTGTACTGGTGTGGGCCGTTTTCTTGAGGGGAGCACATTTGCTATTGGGATTGGCGATTTGTTCTGACATGGGGCGTGGGTGCGCATGGCTCTAGCTGTGGGTAAAGGGGAGCTGTCTTTACCCTCCAGTACAGGAGGCGGCCCAGTCCGCCTACCTCCGGCACCGTGAAGCATGTCCTGCTGCCTGTCTTTGAACCCATTCCTGGGAAGCCATTTAGGAACTACTGCATCAAGGTTCAACTTGTGCACAACACGTTGATGCATTGAGAGAACCTCAGGGTAGAGGGTCGTGTGATCACAAAACTGACAGAGGTGGGTCACCACGGAACTCTGTGGCAATGAGGTAGATGAATCCTTCAGAGCTAAGTTACTATTGCAAGTACTCTTTTTAAGAAGTGCTGAGGTCAGATCCAAAGGAAGTCTATCTTGGGCTACTTGTCCTTGGACATCGATAGCTTGGCCTTTGCCTATATCTTGTGAAAGGAGCTCTCCACTTGAAGTACTTTCATCTGAACTGTCCAACTGCGCTGACTCTGAACTCGTCGAAATTATTCCACTGTCTGACATTTTCTGACAAGTGGTGGGTATGCTGGAGTGAATGGCATTTTCCAAGATTTCGTAAGAGCCAGAGCGCTCCTTTTTCTGTCGTTTCACTGGTACATCAATCTGGGCTTTACATCTGTATTCCTCAGAGGTTATGTCAGACCTTTTAACATCCAAATAGTAAGTGGCATCCCCAGAAGGGGAAGAGGCTCCAGTTCCCACTGTTCGAGACAAAGCTGCCTGAGTGCTGTTGCTGGTGTCTGTAATGTCCTCATTAGATTCAACCCGAGGTACCATGTTATGTTGATCCATGTGGCATTGTAGTAAGATCAACTTGGTCGCTGCATAGTCACAATGAAAACATTTGTATGGCTTTTCTCCTGCAGAGAAGAACAAACAAGGGCCTTTCAGAAAGGATGCACTCACAATTAAAACACACTTTACTGTAGACCAGGAATAAATGCACTGTTGTTACAGAATTGCAGAGAATGCGTTTAGCAATTTTTTTATTAAACAAAAGTCGCTTCTTGTTGTGCTTGGTTTCAGATGAGATTAAACGGCAGGAATGTAATTTGGTCATCTTCTGTTGAATTGGTAGAGGACAAAATTAAATTATCAACCACAAAACAAGTCTGGCTGCATATTGTAGTGTATGAAGAAAGAACATGTGTCTTCAATTTGTGGTGCTCTGTTTTTGCCACATTACCAAACAGGTCTGCGCAAACTTTTTTAATAAAGAAATAGAAACAAAGGTTTGACACATATAAACTTCCTCCTGAAGTACAAATAAATTCGTACTTAAAAATATTTTATTTATGAGGAGCTAGTTTACACATTTCCTCTGCTCCAGCTGCAGAGCTCATGTTCCTTTACGGTGCCTGTGGTGTTTCTTTGCCAGCAGAAGTGGTGCAGTTAGAATTCAGTAACACAACACCAGGACATCTCCCAAAGACGCATGGGATCAGAGGCCTGATGGTAAAGCAGTGAAGTGCTCATTTAACACCTCCGCGGTCACAGGCTCCGGTCCCAGATGAGGCTTAACATTCTGAACACTTCTCAGCCGCAATCTCTCCTAGGCCTACAAGTTAAGTGACAAATAATAATTCGAACAATCCCGAATGAGCTCCTTATTAATACGGCAACATTCAAAAGTTGAAAATCTGGAATCTGCACCTTGGAGGTTATTTTTGCGCATTATATGAGTGTTCCTCATTCCAACTAAGTTGGTACATCAGAGGAAAAAGATCATAGTCAGAAGTGTGTATAGTTGCACTGTACAGGGTAAACAAACAGTATAACATCATCACAGCAATGTTTCACAAACTGCCCATTTTATCTGGGGGATTGTTGGCCTGGACACCGGGAGAAAACCCCTTCTCTTTTCAAATATTGCCACGGCATCTTTAACATCCACCTGAACAGGCTGATGGGCCTAGGTTTAATATCTCCCCCAGTTCTGACGATGGGTTGTGGACCCGAAACGTTGACTCACTTTCCTTTCTCCATAGATGCTGCCTGACCTGCTGAGTTTTCTCAGTTCTCTCTGCTTTTGTTTCAGATTCCAGCATCTGCAATATTTTGTGTTTTGTTTAATATCTCATCTGAAGGAAGGCACCTCTGCAGAGCAACACTGGAGTGTCAGCCTAGATTATGAGTTCAAAATCTTGATGTGGGGCCTAAATCCACAATCTTCTGACTCAGAGGCAAAGGTGATACCAACTGAGCTAGGTTGACACCCTATCATCATCCGGGGAGCATTGAAAAGGAGAGTAGAAATAAATATAAGTGATATTTTGGGACCATTATGTTTAAGGTAGCAATCCCATCCACTGATATCTTACTGTCTGATAGCCCACAGACTGCAAAGTCAGACCACTACAGTTCACCTTGCACTCTGAACAAATGAAACACTGATTAATCAATGTTATACTGAATACAATTCAACTTGAAATAGTACATCCAGCAGTGTTTTCTAGACATCTTGGCCTGATTGGCAACACACTGCAAAGATCATCCAAGTCAGTAAAGTGTTCTTCGGATGAGATGTTAAACGAAGGTCCGATCTGCCTGTTCAGGTGGAAATTAAAGATTCACCAGATAAAATTGTTCACTCATTCCATGGCTATCTGTGAAACACTGCTGTTCACAAATTGTCGGCCCAATTCGTCTGCAAAATACACATTGCAGTAAATCTTGTGATGCATTTTGAGACATGTGAAAGGTGTTATATGAAATACAAGGGTGATTATTTTATTATTTAAGTCTATTAACTGGTCTGACTGACTATTTGCTAAATCGGCTGATCTTTGTCTAGTTGCTCATTGCTAATTGTCCATTACAAACTCAAAATATAATAATACCGTACTTGCATTTTATATAGTGTCTACCACATTGAAACATTGCAGAGTACTTCATAAGCAATTGCTTTTCAAGTGTGCATTGAATGTTTGCTGTGCATTTCCGAGGTAGCCAATTTGCACACAGCAAGGACCAACAAACAGTTATAAAGAGAATGACCAATTTACCTGGGAGATTTTTGGCCAGGGTTTTGAAACTACTTTTCTGATCAAAATTAATGCCACTAGGTTGATACCACTGAATAACACACCAATTAAATACTAAATATACCACAGAGGTCATGAAAGCAGGTCCACCAAACATTGAAATGATCACCAAAACAGATATTACATCTTTCTAAAATTACAAATTATTTATAAACATTTCACCGCATTCCCATCCGTTTCAGATATGATTAGATGCACTGGTGTTTCAGTTTTCATACTGATGCTTAAGGAGAAATCTGGTGACAAGTCTCTTAAACAGCAAGTCACAAATGTGCCACTAGGCGGTTCCAATACCAAACTGCAACTGAGCAGAAACATTCGCTGCAGAACACATGTAGTTTTAATGTTCCTCCACACTCTTCTCTCACTAGGGAGCAGCAGAGACTGCATCAAGTATAAACAGTGAATCTGCTTTGATCATAACTACAAATTGGAATAGTTCTAAAAGGAAAAGGGATCCTTTTTTTTAAAAAAGCTGTTGTACTTGCAATATTTGCCTCTTATCATCAAGTTAGGGACAAGTACAGTGCTTTAACTGTACAAGAATTACATGCATTGCTCAATTTTATCCAAGTACATTTTCCTAAAGCATAACATCCCCACACAAACACACATAAACTCGCTATCAATCACTTGATGCAACTATAACCAGAGACACTATAATAATTAACCACAAAAGCCAATTCTCATGCAAGTTAGAGACATATGTGAAAAGAATGCTGCAGATTTCTCAGGCAGTAACACGCAAGGCTGGGAAGCTGGTCATTCAAGAACATGTTTAAATCTCTCTCCATCTGGTGTAACTATTTCCTAAAGAACATAAACTATTACATAAATGAAAATGGGAAGGGCTCAGCTTTGAACATGAATGTACAACATCTGATGCAGAGTATTGCTTGGTGCTCGGCAAACGTAGTTCTATAACATTGAATAAAACTTGAATAAAACAAGTAATATCTGTCATTGATACTGACCTGTGCAGAGATTTTTTTCTCTCTCTAACAGGTTTCTAAGGAACCATATTTTGGTGGGTAATCTCCCCTTTAAATCCTTTTGCTTGCCCTCCCCACACTTGACCACATCCCTGGACAAGTCTGCCTCCAGCTACAAGCCTTTGTCATGGGAGAATATCTAACACCTCCTCACACCCACCTCCCGAGTTCGGAAACTCAGTGTGTGAACGAGCAAAGCTGTGAAACTTGCATTTGAGTGATTGTAAGATCATTGATTGTGGCAAATTTGTTTGAAAATATTTAATAGTAAATGATTTTAAAACTTCAGGTTCTTCAAATGATATCTTCAAATATGAGCAAAAATACTTCGTCAGACATTTTCATCAATAAAGTACAGATATTTAGAATGGTAGCAAGTCTATAGAAGGAAATCACTTAGCATGTTCCTTTACTGCAACTAACTCTCGCACTAGACGATTCCCACTCTGTTACTATTTCCCCATTGCCTTTAAGAATATTTTCCCTCAAGTATTTATTTCATTCCTTTTTTAAATGCTGTTATGGAGCCAGTTTCAACAGCAAGCATCAAATGACACAAATACTCATCGCAGGGTATTTTACTTTCTAGGGAAAATCCTGAATACTCTTGACTGGGAATAGATGATAAAGGATTAAGGATACAGCAGTCAAAGCTTAACAGTTACTTTATCTGTTCGTCAGACTTGTGAAGGATATGAAGAAATTAGAGTTGATTTTGAGGTGTTAATGGATTTCTTAATACCAAACTGATCCCTATGTCTTTAAAGATCTGAAAGCAACAATAATTCCTTGTCTTATTGAAGGTCCTGGAGGAGATCAAGCCTTAATAATTCACGAGAGGAATTATTAAGAGTAGAACAAAGGTTGTGCCTGTTGAATGGGTATGATTTGAAGGTTTATCAACGTGTAGTGGAATCATCAGCAAAACAGTTAATGAGTTTTTTGATGGATGGAGGAGGAAGAAAGTGAATTTGAGAACCCATGAGCTGATGGAAATATAGAATGTAGGATGAATCATCAGCTTTGGTTTGTAAGGAAACTAAATAAGCAAGAAGATCATAAGATTTCAACTACTTTAGTAGTGCTTGGTGCCACTTCCTGTCCAACACATTTAGAGATGTCAAAAGCAATGACGAATGAATAATCCAAATCTTTAAGAGCTGAGTCTCAGAGGTGGACAACATAGGCAAGTCCGCCAATGAAGCAACTATGGCTACAGTTCAAATGTACAGTCTGGAAGGATATTTGATGCTAATGCTGACAAAACAGAAATTATAAAACAGGGATTTCAAATTATCATGTGAGTTAGAATGACCCAAACGTCAATTAAATATAGCGTGCTGAGGATTTAGAGCATTAAACTGGAAGCAGGCAAAATATTTTTACAACTACCAAACAATGACTTACTGTTTTTTATTAGATATTTGTGCATTTACTTCATGTGAACAATGCCAACTTCTGCACAATTCTTTGTAAATTCTTTGGCAGAAATCAGTCGTAAGAGAACTGTATGTACTGCCAGCAATGAATAGAGTTACACAAATGACTGCACCCTCTAATTATAAGCAACCTTGGTGATAGCTTCTCACAGACGTTTTACCACTGAACACTCTCACTCAGACATGAACTTGCACCTTGTCTGATATTTACCCACATCTATCGCCTCTGCTTTTTTTCCTAAAGCATACAAAGGCATTTCTCTGTCTATCTGGTTAACGGGTTTCCATTCTGACCTGGCTGGAATTCCCATTGTTGTATTTTCAATGGCATACCTGAAATTTTAAACTGAACTTAAAAGGTTACTATTGTTGAAAAATAGTACAC